CATTTCATGTCCGGACACTTTCACCCCCTTCCTGTCCAGGTCAATTTTCAGCTTTCAGCGCTATCACACTTTGAATGACAATTGCGCGGTCATGCAACACTGTACCCATATGAATTTTTTTTGACAGATAAAACATTATTTTGGTGGTATTTAACCAGTTGCCGCCTGGCCTATAGCCAGATGGCAGGCGGGTAAGCAGCTCGTCCCTCCAGGTGGATGCCATATGGTGTCCTTTCAGGCATGCACAGTGCGCCTACCCGCAGGGCTGCTCTGCGGTGTGATCTGTCACCGTCCGTGTACCTTGGACATGACCGATGACAGTTCTGTGTACAGGCCCCGTTTCCAGTACAATGTGACCTGCTGTGACCAATCACAGCAGGTCACATGACAGTTGCATACAATGGATGGCTTCATTCATGCCATTCATTGTATACAAGTGTGTCTAGCTGTGAATGGTCACAGCAATCACATGCACAAGCTGGGCCAATCACAGCCCATCTGTGTCATGTGATTAGCTGTGGCCAAATCACAGCTAAGCACAAAAAAAAAACCCTGAATGAATCGATGTCATTCAGGTAAATGCTTGCTTATAGCAAAGTAATTCTTTGCTATAAGAAAATTGTGTAAAAAAAAAAAAAAAAATACTGATCCACTTCCCCAAAGTAGTACAATGTTACTATGGTAACATTATACTACTTTGGTCATAGTGAAATATGAAAAAAAATCTTTAAAAAAAGAGAAAAAAATGTAATAAAAAATTAAAACTAATAAAAAAATTTAAAAACAATTTAAAAACATTATCATTTTTTTTTTTTCATACTGTCACCAGTCAGTGTCCCTGATCACCACCATACCAGTTATATGATGACGCTGTACTGCACTGGTGACAGTATGTAAAAAACAAATGGTGAAAATAATTACATTTTTTTATTTTCCGAAAAATTATGACAAAAAAATTACAACTTCAAAAAACTCGCCATTCCTCTTATGAAATACATCGGACTGTCTACTTTGCAAAAATGGGTCATTTGGGGGATATCTGTACTATTCTGACATTTGGGGGATATCTGTACTGTCCTGACATTTGAGGGATATCTGTACTGATCTGACATTTGGGGGATATCTGTACTGATCTGACATTTGGGGGATATCTGTACTATCCTGACATTTGAGGGATATCTGTACCATCCTGACATTTGGGGGATATCTGTACCGTCCTGACATTTGGGGGATATCTGTACTATTGACATTTGAGGGATATCTGTACTGATCTGACATTTGGGGGATATCTGTACTGATCTGACATTTGGGGGATATCTGTACTATCCTGACATTTGAGGGATATCTGTACCATCCTGACATTTGGGGGATATCTGTACCGTCCTGACATTTGGGGGATATCTGTACTATTGACATTTGAGGGATATCTGTACTGATCTGACATTTGGGGGATATCTGTACTGTCCTGACATTTGAGGGATATCTGTACCGTCCTGACATTCGGGGGATATCTGTACTGTTCTGATATTCTTGGACCTCAAGAAATTAGATTGGCTGTCAGTACTTCAGGATTGATCAATATTCAGATATATACCATAGTTTGTGAACTCTATAATTTTCCTACAAACTAAATAATACATCCTAATTTGGGTTGTTTTTACCAAAGACATGTAGCAGAATACATCTCGGCCTAAATTTATGAAGAATAATTATTCTTGGAATGTTGGATCCATGAATTATTTATTTGTAAACTTTTATAACAGAAACAAAGAAAAACATGTTTTTTTTTTAAAAAAATGTTCAGTCTTTTTTTTGTTAATTTAGCAAAAAATAAAAACCCCAGCGGTGATTAAATACCACCAAAGGAAAGCTCTAGTTGTGTGAAGAAACGTATAACATTTTGGTTTGGGTACAATGTTGCATGACCGCGCAATTGTCATTCAAAGTGTGAGAGCGCTGAAACCTGAAAATTGGAGGGGGCAGGAAGGGGGTAAAAGTGCCCAGTATGGAAGTGGTTAAGCTCCCAGGAGCAGGACCCTCCTAACCCTCTTGTATTGAACTGTATTATTCCTGTAAATTGCTGATCACACTGTTGGCGCTATATAAATCCTGAATAATAATAATATTTATTCACCGCGGGATTTTTATTTTTTTTTGCTATATAAATGAAAAAGTCCAAACAATTTGAAAAAGTGTTTTTCTTATAAAATTTTGCAAATAAATAATCTTTCTTCCAAATCTTTGCCAAAATTTATTCGGCTATCATTTTAGTAAAAAAAAACCAAACAAATTAGTTTATAACCAATAATTATAAATTTTATTTGCTTTTTTTATATTATTATTTATGTTTTTTTTTTTTTTAACACACCCATCACCCTAGCAGTGCAGTGTCACCATAGTGACACTGTACTACTTGTGGAGGGTGATGAAGATTTTTTTTTTTTTTACACTGATTGCTTTTACACCCATAAAGGCTGTAAAAGTAATAATTTCTCCTTCTCTCTGGCTGCATTCTTGCAGCCGTTGAGAAATACTGTGAGAGCTGTGATTGGTCACAGCTTGTCACATGGTACAAGGCTGTTGTGAATAGCCCTGTACCATGTGATCTCTGTGATCATTCAGATTTCACAAGTAGTAAGCAATGATGTCAGGAAGTGACATCTTGCTTACTACTATTCATGTGATCACTGATTGGCCAATCAGTGATCACATGATCTGGACCTCACACAGAGGTCCCGTACAGCTATCGTGTTCTTCTTTGTCTGGAGGACACAGCGGACACTGGATCGCGGTGCCGCGCGCACAGCGTGAAAATGTGGGCGCCGTTTATGAAACAACCACCTGCTCCTGCACTGCTCCCCCGTTCCGGCCGTTTATGTACATAAGCCGGACGGGAAGTGGTTAAGAGACAAATGGGTACTCACAAGCAATTGAAAACAGCAGGCATGTAACATAAATGTTTCAACGTGTTTCGGGATCCATGCTCTCTTCCTTCAGCTTTGAGGAAGGGAGCATGACTCCCGAAACGTGTTAACATTCCAACCAGGCAATAGATGGAACGTATCATACAAAGGTGAAATATTTATGTTACATGCCTTCAATTTTTTTCAATTGCTTGTGAGTACCCATTTGTCTCTGAATAAATGGTATGATTGTGATGCAAAAAGAGTTTGCACCGTCATGTGGTTTTTTTTTTTTTTTTTTACAGTTGCCTGGAGATTCCACGATCGGTGGAGGGATGCACCTGGGACAGCATTGCTCACCATATTGTATCTTGACGTTCCTTGGATTGAGCACTGGAGTGTTTTTGGAGGATATAGTAGTTTTTAGCAGGGGTTCCCCGAGCCCGGAAAGTTATTTCAAGGGTTCCTCTTTGTTGAAAAAGGCTGCTGTAAAATGATGCTTTTGAAGTCTTGCACTTTGGTATCTGTCTATATTAACCCATTTGCGCCAGTGCCTCCCTGACCCTTTAGGGGGTTTCAGATGCCGAGGGGTGTTTCTGATCATGTGACTGCTATGATTGGCTGTCACAGTGGTCACATGATCGGAAAAGCTCCTGATTGCAAGCTGTTATCCACCAGTAACTGTGCTGGGAGTGTGCACAATGCTCACTCTCGGCACAGTTCTGTTTATCTTTAGGTACGCATCAGGGGCGGACTGACAACTCATGGGGCCCCCGTGTCCTTGCTCAAACTCAAAAAAGCCTATGAAAAAGGTACCAGGGGCATCTCATGGGGACCCCTACTGACCCCGGGCCCTCGGGCAGTGCCCGAGTTTCCAAATGGTCAGTCTGCCCCTGGTACGCATATATGTGCCTCTTGGCATGAAGGTCCACCCACCGAGAGGCCACATATATGTACCTGTTCTATGCAGATTCAAGCCAGCGTACTGTTGACTTTACTACATCTTGTATTGTTTGTCTAATTAAAGTGATACTAAATGCACACTTTCACTTAAATTATTCTTTCTGTATATGGATTACTGTTTTAACCGCTTCCCGACCGCCCTATAGCAGATTTACTGCTACCAGGCAGCACGGGTGCACAAAACCTTCTATATCTTGCATTTCCGGGTAGAGGGGTGCGCGCTGATTACTCACCAGCGCCCGGTGATTGCCGAGGATCTCCAACGGGGAGAACTGTATGTAAACAATGCAGTTCTCCTCCCTGGTAGGAGGAGCTGCAAATTATATTTCCTGGACATTTTGAGGAGTCCAGGGGATGATGGGAGCCCAGAAAATGTTGGGTAACATTGCTAAAGGACCCTGCAAAGACTGCTGGGGAAGGCGGGTAAAGGAGCACTACACAAGCACACACACCTTTGACAAGGCCTTTATTTTAAAAATAATGCATGTTGTCCAGTGAGCCACGTCACTAACAATGAATGATGCCTGTCAATTTAGCACCCCCCCAAAAAATTCTGCTCCCAATGGAATCTCGTCACAAATGATAGGGGTGGGGGTCCTGACCATATTTTGATGAGTGAAATCAGTGCCCAGCTCCCCGTGCCCTATGACAATCTCTTGCCTACTAGCCTAAAAAAATGGGCTGAATTGATTTGAAAGATTCTCCTCCAATTGACTTCAACAGGATTCAGAACTTAGGAGCAGTTCAGTGAACCTCTCAGGAATTGAACACATTTCTCTCTTCCTTCCTCATAGCATGATAACAGGTTGTTCTGACAAGAACAGTCTCTCATAAATCCATGCTGGTTGTCACTTATGATACCTTTAGTATAGATACATTTCTGTATAGAGTTCCTTATCATTCCCTCTAATACCTTACATACTATTGATGTTAGGCTGAATAGTCTGTAGTTTCCTGGTATACATCTTGTGTCCAGCTCCCCATGCTCTTTGACAATTTTTTTGCGTACTAGCCTTAAAAATCGGCTGCATTGATTTGAAAGATTCTCCTCCAATTGACTTCAACGGGATTCAGAACTTAGGAGCAGTTCAGTGAACCTCTTGGGAATTGAACACAGGAATATTCAACCCGTCCCTACACGTCGTTGTGAGATCTCTGATGTCTAACAAATTGTGATTTCCATGTAAAACATTTCCCACATTCGGGGCAGGAATACGGCTTTTCCCCCGTGTGCAATCTCTGGTGTCTATCATGGCTTGTTTTCTGTGTAAAACATTTCCCGCACTCAGGACAGGAATACGGTTTCTCTCCCCTGTGAGATCTCTGATGTATAGCAAGGTCTGATTTCTTTGTAAAACATTTCCCACATTCAGGGCAGGGATGTGGCTTCTCCCTCGTGTGAGATCTCTGATGTACAATAAGGTCAGCTTTGTGTAAAAAACATTTCCCGCACTCAGGGCAGGAATAGGGCTTCTCACCTGTGTGAATCTTCTGATGTGCACTAAGACAGAACAACCGTGAAAAACATTTCCCACACTCAGGGCAAGAATATGGTTTCTCCCCTGTGTGAGATCTCTGATGTATAACAAGGCTTGATTTTTCTGAAAAACATTTTCCACACACAGGGCAGGAATACGGCTTTTCCCCCGTGTGAGTTCTTTGATGTTTAACAAGGACTGATTTGTGTGAAAAACATTTTCCGCAATCTGGGCAGGAATACGGCTTCTCCCCCGTGTGAGATCTCTGATGTATAACGAGGTCTGATTTCTTTGCAAAACATTTCCCACACTCAGGGCAGGAATATGGCTTCTCCCCCGTGTGTGATCTCTCATGTCTAACAAGGTCTATTTTCTGTGAAAAACATTTCCCGCACTCAGGACAGGAATACGGCTTCTCCCCCGTATGAGATCTCTCATGTCTAACAAGATTTGATTTCTGTGAAAAACATTTCCCACATTCAGAGCAGGAATAGGACTTCTTACTCATGTGAGAACTGCAATATATGACAAATCCTGATTTATGAAGGAAACATTTCCCGCACTCTGAATAGGAAGGAAGCTTCTCACTGATCTCCTCCCATCTAATTCCGGCACCATCCCCCACAGTACGAGGTTGCTCAGAGTCAGAGAGATTTGATGGTCCATCCACACTGTGAAGTCCACCATCCATAGCTGAGCTCATTATCTTTTCTCCTGCACAATCTCTTGTGATGTCCTCATCTTCCATTTTACAACCCGGAGATAAAGCAAGACGATCCTTTGAGGGTTCTTCAATGGCGTGTCCTGGAAAATGTAAAAACATGATTGTTATATACTAGAGGGTTTGTTCACTTAAATCAAGATTGCATCTGGATCAGGTAGACTTGAGTGAGCTGATGTTCTCTGTAGATTTTCCAACCAGCTGGAACACTTCCCCCCTTCAGTCAGAGGGCCTTTGGTCCTCCTCCCAGATCAGAGCTGACTGGGATCAGCAGGGCGAAGGACAGGGATCAGCAGGGCGAAGGACAGGGATCAGCAGGGCGGAGGAAAGGGCTCAGCAGGGCGGAGGAAAGGGCACAGCAGGGCGGAGGACAGGGCACAGCAGGGCGGAGGACAGGGCACAGCAGGGCGGAGGACAGGGCACAGCAGGGCGGAGGACAGGGCACAGCAGGGCGGTGGACAGGGCACAGCAGGGCGGAGGACAGGGCTCAGCAGGGCGGAGGACAGGGCTCAGCAGGGCGGAGGACAGGGCTCAGCAGGGCGGAGGACAGGGCTCAGCAGGGCGGAGGACAGGGCTTAGCAGGGTGGAGGACAGGGCTCAGCAGGGCAGAGGACAGTATGCTGTGTGAGAAGGAGGAGCTCTGTTGCCTGTGCCTAGGCTGTGTTCAATGCATGGATGGGAGAGGGAGTTTTGCATAATTGCCAACATTTCCAGGGTCACTTTTTCTAATCCTTATGCTGCTAGTATTAGTAAATACTGTAGATAGGATATCATATTTACTTTGTTTTGATCTTTTTTTTCTTGCATTCCTGCAGTTACTTCCTGGTTTCCATGCCTCGGCAAACTATGTCATACATCCCAGGAGTCTTCAGGAACGGAGGGAGGGTTCTCAGCTCAGCCAATGCCTGAGCTAAGGGCAGGTGGATTCCAGGAACTAACTGCTACATGCTCCATGTCTTTGCTAAAAAAAAAAAAATCCCAATATGTGTAAATTAATTGGTTTACGTGAAAGTTATAGCATCTACAAATGGCGGTATATATTGCTGTGGTTACTTTCTGGTTTCCATGGCTACGCAAATGATGTCATACACCCCAGGATACTTTAGGAAGGGAGGGTTCTCAGCTCAGCCAACACCTAAGCCAAAGACAGGTGGATTCCAGGAAGTAAATGATACATGAATCATCTGCCCTTACTCAAGATGGCCACTGCCAGAAATGCCAGGGGGTGTTTTTCAAAATGACTTCTCTGCAAAATAAAACATGGAGACATGGGTAGAAGGGGAGTTTGTTTTGAATATTAAAAATTAATTATATGGCATTTTGGTTTGTAGTAGGCAGATGAGGTGCAGTTCCACTAAAATTAATGGGCAGGGCATTCCTTTAAAATGGGTGTGGTTTTACAAGGAGCATATCATTGACCTAATGACATTCTTTAATGAAACATATATAAGAGAGCTGTATTTATTGCTAGGGTGGTTCAGTGTCAGACTGAGGGCAGCATAGTGCCGGCTGAGGGCAGCATAGTGCCGGCTGAGGGCAGCATAGTGTCGGCTGAGGGCAGCATAGTGTCGGCTGAGGGCAGCATAGTGTCGGCTGAGGGCCGCATAGTGTCGGCTGAGGGCAGCATAGTGTCGGCTGAGGGCAGCATAGTGTCGGCTGAGGGCAGCATAGTGTCGGCTGAGGGCAGCATAGTGTCGGCTGAGGGCAGCATAGTGTCGGGTGAGGGCAGCATAGTGCCGGCTGAGGGCAGCATAGTGCCGGCTGAGGGCAGCATAGTGCCGGCTGAGGGCAGCATAGTGCCGGCTGAGGGCAGCATAGTGCCGGCTGAGGGCAGCATAGTGCCGGCTGAGGGCAGCATAGTGTCGGCTGAGGGCAGCATAGTGTCGGGTGAGAGCAGCATAGTGCCGGCTGAGGGCAGCATAGTGTCAGGTGAGAGCAACATAATGTCGGGTGAGAGCAGCATAGTGTCAGGTGAGGGTAGCATAGTGTCAGGTGAGGGTAGCATAGTGTCGGCTGAGCGCAGCATAGTGTCGGCTGGTATGAGATATCCCAGGATGTAGTGGGAAACCAACAAGTGAAACTTAAAGGTGTCATCAGCAGTCATTTCTGGTTTGTGTGTATATATTCTGAAAGTGTCTGGTGCAGACACAACATCTGGTGTGGAGCGTGGAAGGTGAGAAGGGTTTGGACTGGAGCAGAGCAACTAGCAGACAGCATACATGGTGTGCAATACGGGAACTGTATAGCAGAAGGTGAGCAGGGACCAGAGAGAGTACTGAGTGGCGTAAGATCAGCAGAGCTGGGGGACCAGAGGAAAAACTAGCAGACGTCACACGTGGTGCACAGCATGAGAGCAATATAGTGGGAGGTGAACGGGGACTGGAGAGAGAGAGGAGGAACATCAAACCTTATGATCAGCAGAGCGGGGGGGGTAACTACAGAGCGGCAAATCAGCAGAGCTGAGGGTTACTACAGAGCGAGGGATCAGCAGAGCTGGGGGTTACTACAGAGTGGGGAATCAGCAGAGCTGGTGGTTACAACAGAGTGGGAGATCAGCAGAGCTGGGGGTTACTACAGAGCGGAGGATCAGCAGAGCTGGGGGTTACTACAGAGCGGAGGATCAGCAGAGCTGGGGGTTACTACAGAGCGGAGGATCAGCAGAGCTGGGGGTTACTACAGAGCGGAGGATCAGCAGAGCTGGGGGTTACTACAGAGCGGAGGATCAGCAGAGCTGGGGGTTGCTACAGAGTGGGGGATCAGCAGAGCTGGGGGTTACTAGAGAGCGGGGGATTAGCAGAGCTGGGGTTCTATAGAACAGGGGATCTGCTAAACGAGACTACAAATGAGCTGGGGATTTGCTGAACAGGGGTACTAATTAGCTGGGGATCTACTGAGCTGGAGTTCTACTGGGCCCCTTTAAACAAATAGAAAATCGACACACAGGGCATTCGCCAACCTTCATCAAAGCTTCAAAACAGCATCACAGAGGCATCAAAAACACATGAAAAAAAGCATGTTGAAGCGGTAGGCGCTTTGATGTGTGTTAAAGTCGGAACAAGTGTAAATGAGCTCTAAGGGAATATATTGTGGCTCACCTGTGCTGATCTCTATAGAAGTGTCCTCCTCTTTGTATGTCCTCGTTGTCTGTAAAATAGAAGGATTTATGATGTGAGATCACATAGAAATTCTTATCTTGTAGAGTCCACACATCGTCTCCACATGTCAGAGTGTTCCATCACTTTATGTTCCAGACCCTCAACTCCACCAACCTTGTCATGGTGAGGGATGGTGTGATCTTCCTGTGTGGAATCCCGGGAATACAGAGGACGGGGACATCTCTCTGGTGGGTTCCTGGTATTAGGTGGCTCCATCATATCTTTGTGTCCTTCTGAAAACTCCTCCATCACTCCATACTCCTCATCCTCCTCTGTATACTCTTCTTTAACAACAATGTTAAAATCCTCAAGGTTTCCACCCTGAAAATATAATAAAACATTCATTGTAACAAACATGCTGTGTATAAATCACAACTACCAATATTTGTCATTCATCTACCTGATGATGGTGAGGGACGGTGTGATCTTCCTGTGTGGAATCCCGGGAATACAGAGGACAGGGACATCTCTCTGGTGGGTTCCTGTTGCTGGATGACTCCACCATGGTGTCCTGGCACAGATCTTTGTGTTCTTTTAGAGACTCTGACTCCTCCATCCCCCCATCCTCCTCATCCTCCTCTATCTCCTCTTTAATATCAACTTTAGAAGCACTCAGGTCTTCACTCTGAATATATAATAAAAATGACATCAATGGTAACAATGCAGATAATGTACAGATCCTAATGATACTATCAGTGATTGTTCATCTACCTGATGATGGTGAGGGATGGTGTGACCTTCCTGTGTGGAATCCCGGGAATACAGAGGACGGGGACATCTCTCTGGTGGGTTCCCATGACTGGATCCATCTGTAGGAAACACACACACTGACTGAATCCATTATTTCTATGTGTTTATCAGATGATGGGGGATCTAGGTGGATCCTCCGTACTGCTCTCTCCTTTACAATAAAGTCTCCTCTTACCCGGTGATGTGAGGGGCGGCTGATTGTCCATCATGACGTCCTTGTAGAGATCCTTGTGTCCTTCTAAATACTCCCACTCCTCCATGGAGAAATAGACAGTGACACCCTGACACCTTATAGGAACCTGACACACACAATGATACAGTCACCATCCAGACACATCCCTTTTCTGTTACTGGCGAATTAACAAAATATTCACTATGTATGGGACTTTAATGGTTCCAAATTATGATTACATGTAAAAATTCCATACATTTATTCAAAATTCATTTAAAACAATAAAGTGGCCTTACTATGCAGTAAGATAAAAAACCTCCTGCATGCAGCAAGATAAAAAACCTCCTGCATGCAGCAAGATAAAAAACCTCCTGCATGCAGCTTCCCCCACAGTCCCCCTAAATACATACCCGAGCCCAATCTAGCGATATGCAAGTCTCTCTTGCTTCTCAATGGCCCCAAAAAGAGAAGGTTTGGGGCTCCTCTGTGCAATGGTAAGTATAACTGTTTGTCATTTTAAAACAAAAACAACCCCAAAGCTTTATTATTACTTTACAAATACAACACAAGCTAGCTAAGTGTGGCTTTCTTAACGAGTTCACAATATATTCCACAATAAAAGAGTAATTTATATCACAGTGTATCTTTGACCTTCCCACTCTACTGTACACCAAGTAACTTATAAGTAAACAGATTGCAATA